CATGGGGCAGGCGCCACTTTGCTGCACTCCTGGCACTGTTTGTCTCACAATCCTGGCTGCATACTGTAAGGTCACGAATATAAGCCGCACTTTAACTTTTCACAGTTGGAATTTGGGGGGAAACTGAGGCTTATATTCAGGCCAATACGGTAATACAAGCAAAAGCAAGCTGACCACAACTTTTCCCCTTCCCTTTCTCTTGATAAAACATAAGCAGAATGAGCAACCTGATTTGAAGCAATCTGAAGGGCTACCAATTTCAACGAGAGAGTTAGGGACTTCCTTAACACCTCTCCCCTTTAAAATCATTAGACCTCTGAAGTGCTTAGCTTAGGCTGGTTCGTGCTCAAACAAGTTCTACTTTCCTTCTCTCTGTGTGTTGCTGCAGGGGGGGAATGAACACCAGTGCTCAAGAGTACTTCAAGTTTTAATATTTAAAGTGAACTTACTTTCCAGAAATTCAGAATTTTGAGCAAATAAAAATTACTTACTCAGGTTGAATAGGTTTATTTTTCCTCAGAGCTTCTCCCAGTGGTGAATTCTCTAGCCTTTTAAGCTTCTCTTGGCATGCCTTCATATAAGAAAACTTTCCACCAATGTAGCCACAAAAGCCAGCAACTTATAAAGAAAACCAAAGACTGATTTAAGATATCTGATGCTCTGTCACTTTAAGAAAAATACAGGTATATTTAAATAAAAAATATATAAAAACATATGCAAAGCCAAAGAAAGCTTCAGCTTAGCACTAAAAAAAGAAAGTTCTTAAGTCTACAGTTTTTATCTCTTGTGTTTCCATGGCAACAAGACAAAGGCCTTAAAAAGTGGTCAGGATAAGAAAGTAATCACCAAATACATCAGGCTGAAACTGAGAAAAATGAGATGTCAATTTAAAAAGAACGGGGAAAGCTGTCAATTTCTTATTAGCAAATACTCAGTATTTTTCAACTGCTGGCCAGCAGGGCAGGGTGGATAAAAATCTATTATTTAATTTAAATAATAATAATAATAATAATAATAATCAGATTTTTTAATTTAAATTGGATTTTTTTATTTAAATTGGATTTTTTTTATTTAAATTGGATTTTTAAAATAAAATGCTTTTGGACAAAAAATCTTTCTAAAGTTAGTTTTCTCTTTAAGTTACATTATAGTCCAAAGGCTATACATCAGGAAATAAGGATACATATGTTATAATGTTATTGTTTTAGTTAAATAAATTGCTTAAATTGTTATTAAGGGAATGATTATTTTTGTCTTTCCAATAAAGTACTGCAGAAAAGTTGTCCAAATATAAACAGTTAATTTATTAAAGCTCACAATAATTTCATAATTATCTATGTATTTCTAATAGTATAACCAAATCATTAGTATTTGATATAAGTGTAAAAACTTCTCTGAAAATTTATTATTCCAAAAATGAAACCTTCATCTGTTTGTAAATATTAAGATTATATGAGCAAGAATGAGTCTTTTTGTAAAAAAATGATTTACATCAAATCCACCCTGCAGCAGGGTGACAATTACGTCTGAGGAGCTATTATAAAACCAGGGCTGTAAACCTATAAATACTTCCTGCCACTGAATTTGGTGACCACAAAACTCAGTGAGGGTTACTTCTGAGTAGAGATGGATAAGAATGTGCCATAGGTTTCCTTTGAAGCAAAACCTGCTCCAACTCCATCACTAATTTGTTTGTTTGGATTTGTATCTTTGCAAGAGGTGTGCTTTCCTTTACAGTGGTACCTCGGGTTAAGAACTTAAATTCGTTTCGGAATTCCATTCTTAACCTGAAACTGTTCTTAACCTGAAGCACCACTTTAGCTAATAAGGCCTCCTGCTGCTGCCGCGCCACCAGAGCACGATTTCTGTTCTCATCCAGAAGCAAAGTTCTTAACCTGAAGCATTATTTCTGGGTTAGCGGAGTATGTAACCTGAAGCGTATGTAACCCGAGGTACCACTGTACTTTCCAAAACCACATGCTACTTGTCTCTACTTTCATCGCCAGTGAAAGCTTCAATTCCCGCAAAATAAATATTTCCTGCAATATGTGCACAGTTGTTACACATTAACTACAATAGATTTAGAGACCTTTACTTAGTGGCTCTCTAAAGAACTTTTTTGGGGCAAGGAAACCTTGCTTTGCCAGGACTCAAAGCATCATTTCAAGATGCCCAAGATTTTCTCTCACAATGTCCATCACACAGCTCTGAAAGGCACAGAGCCTTTTTCATGAAATATGGTGGCGAACCGAAATCTCAGCTGTGAGTAGGATGGTCAGGTGAAAATGAAAACAGGACTCCTGCATCTTCATTAAAGTTGTGCAGAAAAGGGAATTTCAGTCATTACAGGTATCCCTGCTAAAATTCTCTCGTCCGTAAAACTATTAAAAATGCAGCAGTCCTGTCTGTTTTTCCAAATGTGAGCCTTTAACTACAGCTACAAAGTAGTGAAGGGTTAATACTTACATAAAACTTTTGGTAGAGAGCCAAACTTTGAATGTGTTGTAAGAATTCCTGCAAATAAAAAAAAAATGTAAGGAGCAGTAACCATACAAAAATATGAACTGAAACCTGAGCTGATAAATGCGTAACCATGAATCGACTCACAGCACTTGGGGTTTCAGTGATTGGTTTAGGTTTTTTTTCCAACTATACATGTGACATGGAGGGAACAGTGAAGACCACTGGAAAGCTGTTGTACGTCAGTTTGAAAATAGTTTTCTAATATTACATTTAAATGCTTTGATTAAAGAAGCTGGGAGACTCCAGTTCAATAACATGGAGAGTGAGTGAAAGAGTGTGTGTGCTTGTATGTGTATGTGCATACACACACACAATTCCATTCTTTGCCAGCTTTTAACATAAGGAAGGAGCTAGATATGTAGATGGCTCCATTCATTTCCACAAAAGCAGAAAATCCATGCATGCAAAGGAATGTGCAATATTGAATCAGGACAACAGTTTTTAATAGTATTCACCCATATCATAACCCAAATGAGTTACATGTTGCAGGTGACTTGAAATATTCTACATACTAAATCAAAGCAAAAAGTAACATACCTTAAAAAAAAGTATTTCCTTCTTTAAAAACTATATAATCCTTAACCATGGTATAAATTATAGTCCTCCATAAATGCCCAAGTCTTTCTTTGGAACTATCTCTGTTGACTATTTCTGAAGAAAACTGAGTAGCTCAAGTTTCCCCTTATAAGTCTATTATTTTGCAGTTGTCAATGTATGATCTGTGTTTTCAAACACTGGCTCCATAAGCACATGATGTTAATCCAGAGTTAGATAAAAAAATTTCAGCTTGGGAGCCACATTCTGTCATGGGAAACCTTTTGGGGACCGCAGGCCAAGGGTGGGAGCAGTCAGGGGCCAAAGTGGGTCAAGTAATGGATGCAACTCTTTCCTTTGTACGGTAGGCTACATTCAATAACTTTCTCCCCACCTGAAACATATGACTAATCTTTTTCTATAATTAATTCATATATATTATATATGAAAAATATTTCCAAATAGCAGACATCCATATTCAGTCAAAGTTGCTTGAAACTTACCTTTTTTAATTAATATTTGGGTGACAAGCATGCCAACAGCAGAAAAAGGCAGCGCTGTGAGTGGGAATAGGAGAAAATATGTATTTATATGGAGAATAGAGCTGAATATATTTTCCAGAACAAAAACAAATTGTAAGCAAATTAGGGAGAAATTCCCTTTGAGTGCAGTAGGACTTCCTTCTCAGCAGACATGGTTATGATTTGTACAGCACAGAATCCTTTCTAAAGTACACACTGCCAGAAAAAAAAGCTTTGGGTTTTGTTTCATTTTAAGAGAAAGTGCAGCTCAGAACAAATGTGTTTACAGTCGTACCTTGGTTCTCGAACGCCTTGTGACTCAAACGTTTTGGCTCCCGAACCAAACCTGGAAGTGAGTGTCCTGGTGTGCGAACATTTTTCAGAAGCCGAATGTCCGACACAGCTACCGCGGCTTCCAACTGAGTGCAGGAAACTCTTGCAGCCAATTGGAAGCCATGCCTTGGTTTTCGAAAGTCGAACAGACTTCCGGAATGGATTCAGTTCGAGAACCAAGGTACAGTTGTATTAGGAAACATGGAACCCCTCAAATATGCTGACATCATACTTTTTAGAATAAATATAAGCAGCATACAGCCTAAGGCATACTTTAGAAACCCTCCGATTTGTTTGCTTTCAGTTAAGAAGAGCTGCAAGAGATAAATGTAAAATGATTCCTTCCTGCCAAAGAACTATCATATCTAGATCTCATTATTTTATTTTTTTATTAGCTTTCACAGCATCGAAGATTTATTGAGAAATGTAAACTGAATATTATCCTGGTTCAGGGTTGCGGGAATTAGTACCCTATCCACCAATATGCACGCCAGCACAACTGCAATGACAACAGTCACAGTTGCTAGAGACAACAAAGCAGTACTCAGCAAAGCAACTGGGCAGAAACATTTCTACAGAGGCACTATCCCAGCGCACTCAGTGATGGATAGAATACTGGACGTAAGAAACCAGAGTTCAAATTCCTCCCCAGCCAGGAAGCTTACTAGATGACTTTGGGTTAGTCACTCTCTCTTTCTCTCTTAGGGTTAGGGTTATTTTAAGGATAAACTGAGTAACTCTATTTTGTATTCAACTTATTTTTAAAAACGTGGGATACAAGTACAGTCATATCTTGGATCCCGAATGCCTTGCAAGTCGAACATTTTGGCTCTCGAACGCCGCAAACCTGGAAGTGAGTGTTCCGGTTTGCGAACGTTCTTTGGAGCTTCTTGCAGCCAATCAGACGATGCGCCTTCGTTTCCAAACGTTTTGGAAGTCGAACGAACTTCCGGAACGGATTCCATTTGACTTCCAAGGTACTACTGTATGACCTACAAATAAGGTGTGAAAAGTGTACTTCAGGATGCCACAGAGAATAAAATCTGATATTACCTGGAGAAGGTCCTCTTGATATACTGAGCACAAGTGATTCAAGGGCGTATCTATCAGACTGTGCCTGCTTGGCATCAAAGTGTATTGATGCATCCTTTAAACACTTTATTCACCCGAGTGGCTTTGGCTATTAACACGTTGTATTATGTCATTTTTCTAGGAATTTGTGTCTCATTAAAGAGTAGCTTTTAAATATTAATGAACGTGTTTGGAGAGCTGTTTGAAGTTTCTCTCACATGACTTAGTAAATAGCATGAATTTCCCAACATGAGTTATACTTTTTATTTACAGATTTGGACAGTCATTATTTGACACACAGTTTGGCAAAACAACAGACATGAAAAAGTAAAGATTACTTATTGGAGCATCTCACTTACATCTGTACCAGAGGCTCTCAGTATTGCATTCTTCGAAGACTCTCTTTTCCTCCTCTGTGGGTACATAGGAATGGCTAAACTGGCCCTTTAATGGAAAAATACCGAACATAAAGGGTCAGTGTGTGACATACACTAGCAATACTGTCAAATGGTAAATACAAGTATTTACTACCATTTTAACCAAGTGTCCACAATAAACATTATTTTAGAAAAATGAAAACCAAGTGAGAATATCCCTTTGTTTACCCACAATAGGTGACTGGAGCACAGGAGTCTAACATTTCCTGTTCACTCTTGCATTGTTGTTCTTTTAGACACACTTACATATGTTTTACCTATGTACCCAAATATATACACCTACCAATGTTGTATTGATCTATTTCAATTGCTTCTTTTTTATTTGTTCAATGCAAACAGCTGAAAGTCTGTAAATTTTGATAATAAACCTGATTTGCAATCGAGGTTGAATAATTTCGATTACAACTGTATAAATGTGTGTGTGTATATGCATATCTGTAACTCCAGATAACATGAGATAAAGTGCATCTCATGAAGTGAACTGTAATAGAATTATTAGTATTTGAGGTGCAGTTTGTGCTGTATAGTAAAAGGCAGCTTTATAATGGTAGAGTCTCAAAGCAGCGTGTAATATAACATAGGGCCTAATGCCCCAAGAAAATGAGTATGACATCTGGTTTGACATAACTCTGGACCATGGTCCTACAGATGTTTTGAACATCGATTTATATATGTTATGAGAACTGTTCTAAGAGTTGATGTGCATGCCTATGGTCATATAAACACCAGCCCTAATAACACTTGTACAAAGTTTGTAACAATAAAATGCTCTCCAATAAGGATTGGAAACATTTTACATCTTTTATGCAGAGAAAAGTCAACATGGTGAACGGTTAAGTGTTGGACTAGGCTCTGGAACACTAGGGTTCAGATCACTACTTAGCCATGAAACCCACTGAGTGACGTTAAGCAATCAGAATAAGATCTATTACTTGATTATTGATGCAAATCTCCTCTATCTTCAGCACATTGTATTTTATTTTATTGCTGGTATGCAAGTAAAGACTCTTCTTCCGATTCTGAATTCCTAAAAAGATGCTCGATAACTTTGCAGGTATCAGGAATATGGCAACCCTAAAGCTCAACAATTGTGGCGGTTTCCTTACATCGTATTTTATTTTACTGCTAGGGTTGGTGCAAATAAAGCTTGACCACTTTGCAGGCAACAGGAATATGGCAATCCTAGGCAAAAGGGCTGTTTCTCAAAATAAAATAAAAATTATTTTATTGCTAGGGGTTGGTGCAAGTAAATATTCTTCCACTTCTGAATTTTGGGGTCTTCCTAAAAAGAAAAAAAGCTCGACAACTTCTTGCAGGAATATGGCAACCCTAGGGCTAGGTTTCTAAAAAAAAAGATAAAGCTCAACAATTGCGGTGGTTTTCTTACACTGCATTTTATTTCATTGCTAGGGCTGGTGTGCAAAAAAGCTCGACCTCTTTGCAGGCGTCCGGAAAGTGACGTTTTTTGAAAGATGGCGACCCTAGGCCAGAAGGGCACGAAGCGGCAGAGCGTACCTGACGAGGGCCTCCGGGGTCGGGTCTGTGGGCCCCACCGCGCACTTGCCCGGGGGGCTCCATGTGGGGTGGGAAGGGGCCTGTCAGGGGCGCGGCGGCGGCGGCAAACGAAACGGCGACTCCTACTGACCGAGAAACGAGGGAGCCTGAGGGGAGCGCGCAGAAACCGGAAGCGCGGGTTCCACCCACCGGAAGGGCACGGAGGGCGCCCGTTCCCATAGACGACGGGACGCCTAGAGGGGAAACCCGGAAGCCGGCGGAACCGGGGTCGGAGGAGGAGGCGGGAGGAGAAGCAGCCTCCGAGGGCCGCCGTAGGGGAAAGCGGTCTCGCTTCCCTCCCGGGGCCGCGAAACCTTTCCTGCCCTCTTCGCCGGTAGGGAGGAGGCTCTGGCCGTGGAAACGGAACCCCGGGGCCTTTCTGAGGGAAGTGGGGGAGAAGACAGGCAGCGATACGTGAATATGTTGTAGATATTTTCCCACATTTATTATGCTATTTTGTGATATACAAATGACATGAGAAAACCTGGCATGCTTATTTGTATAACGTTATTCTTTTCTCTTTTAAAAAAAAAAAAAAAATTATTGGTTTTACAACATTATAAAAAAACAAACATTGGCTTAGGATTTTATTTATGTTAAGGGATGAATTAATATGTTTAATTTCATAATGTGAAGATCTAAGGATGTCACTGTTTAAGTTAAATTTTATAAGAACTGTGATTTGGAAAACCATTAAAAGGATATGCAGTGAAATTCAACCAAAGGGAAGCGAGGAAGTCACCTAACAATGTTAATAAGTGTAATTTTCAATAAGCTATGATTTTTGTTTGTTTGTCTTATGTATAACATTATTCTTGTTTATAAAACCCAATTAATAAAACCAAACACTGTGGCTTCCAAAGACAGGCAGCGGATACGTTAATATGTTGTAGATATTTTCCCACATTTTATTATGCTATTTTTGTGATATACAAATGACATGAGAAAACTTGGCATGCTTGTTTGTATAACATTATTCTTGTTTATAAAACTCAATTAAAAACAAAACAAAACACCGTGGCTCCTAAAGGGTGCAGCAGCAGGAGAGGATCCAAAAACAAACAAACAAGACATTTGAGTGTAGTGTAGTTTAGTATCGAAATACTTGTTTCTGTGCAGAATATGGATGTTTTGGGAATCATTCCTACTATTTTTCTATAAGCTGCACGGTTCTACATTTGCCGGATGCCCCGCGATCGTGTTATAAAGTAGCTGTGTTGTCCGTTGCTTTCCAGTGTATTTGGAAATCGGTCCGTCAACGAACTGTGAGAGAGGCTATGAAATGACAGTGGAGGCAATAGATGTACCTGTTTGCATTGTGACACACACAAAAACCCAATAAAAACGAGTAAAAAAAATCAGGGTGTTGCGAGCAATTTTTTATTCTGTAAGTATGGCCCAGGGGGGTGGGGGGGAAACCACCGAATATTTCTCATACGTGTTTAGTTTGATCTTAAGCAAAAGAGAAAAAATTGATTTGAAAGAGTTTTGAAGTTGCAGTCCTACACACGGTTACCTCAGAGAGTGCTCCAGTCAGGTCTGACTTGAGTAACATTTTGACTTCGTAGAGCTGCAGTTTTTAACAACTTGCTGTTTTTGCAGCATTAGGAGTCCCACAGCACTTTTTAAAGGGAAGGGTGCCCTTGCACATGTGCAGAGTGCCTAGTCTCTCTAAAAAACCCCAACTCAATAATTCCTCTGCACATCTGTGGACAAGCAAAGTGCTTCTGTGTATGAGGGCATAAGTATGATTTTTACTTCTTACTAAGAAATAAACCACAACATGTGCATGGGCATAGCTGGAGAGAGGGGCAGCTGCCAACCAATCAAATAAATCAATAAAAATACTGAGGTTCTGCCCCCCCTTATCATGAAGGCTGCCCCCCCCAACATAAATCCTGGCTACATCCAAGACCATGTGAAATAAATTTTTGAATTCATGTATTGTCTGCACCTACATACCTGTCGCAGACCTAGACACCTAGACACACAAAAACTTTGTAGAGGTGAGAAAAACATGCTTCTGGCTTGCGTGCAATTTCCTAACATCATCCATTTCACTTCCTTATACAAAACACTTTTCCCCATACATTAAAAGAACAAAGTATTCCAACCAATAGATGGAAAAAAATGATTGTTCAATTTGAGCCAGGGCACATCAGAACACATTTGCAATGCATAGCTCAGTCCTCAAAATGTGAAGTAATAATCTCTGTTCATGTGTAGAGTTCATCATACCAGACTAAAATCCATACTCTGTAATTGCATGTGGCCCAGAATACCTGACCTGCCCAGCCAGTAGCTGTTGCAGCTTTTAAGGAGTAAATGTACAGAAATGGTTAACACAGTTTATTGCAACACATATGCAAGCTGTTGACTTATGTCTCCTCCCAGTTCCCAAATTAAAAGCAGCAAAATGATTAAACAGTATTTATTATAGAAAGAGACTCACTGTTGTTTCTTTGTTTGCTCACTTGCTCTGTTGTAAGGTAACAAATCGAATACTGAACTAAATAACAAAGTAGGACACCCTCACTGTTGCTTCTCTGGCCTTTGGTGAAACAGATTTGACTATGCTCAAAACCAGTATAGTATTCTGATAGGCTAATGCTGCTACTACATTGGTCTGCTTTGTGAGCAGCTCTGACTCTTCCCATATCTGCTACAGTGTGTGTGCTAGAAAGCCTCATAACAACAGCTGGAGTAGGAGCGTTCCTACCAGGGCTGACTTTCCAGCAGCCCAATCATTCACATGGTTTTTCTTGCTTAAAGCACATGGGAAGGACTTCATGGCCAGAGCTATACTTTTGTATTAGGAATGGCTGAGTGGTGCAGAGAGCAGGAGAATGACAGAAATGCCTCTAAATTCAAGGAAGTATAAAATGTGTATGAGACAAGAAAGGGCTTGAGCCAAGTAGCGTCAGTGGAGCAGCCGTCATCGGCCTTAATGAACTTAATGAGATTTACTTTAGCTAGATACGTAGAGGACCGCATTGTTGGACATTTGGTGCTTGTTTTTCTTCTCAGTTCAAAATGAAATATCCAACATGAAGAATTCAAAGCATGTTTTCTATATTCAGATTACATGATTTGCTAGAGAGACAGGAAAGAGAAGTTATAATTGGACAAAATATATACAAAATAAAAAATAAAAATGTCCGGTAGTACCTTAAAGGTAAAGGTACCCCTGCCCGTACGGGCCAGTCTTGACAGACTCTAGGGTTGTGCGCTCATCTCACTCTATAGGCCGGGAGCCAGCGCTGTCCGCAGACACTTCCGGGTCACGTGGCCAGCGTGACAAGCTGCATCTGGCGAGCCAGCGCAGCACACGGAAACGCCGTTTACCTTCCCGCTGGTAAGCAGTCCCTATTTATCTACTTGCACCCGGGGGTGCTTTCGAACTGCTAGGTTGGCAGGCGCTGGGACCGAACGACGGGAGCACACCCCGCCGCGGGGATTCGAACCGCCGACCATGCGATCGGCAAGTCCTAGGCGCTGAGGTTTTACCCACAGCGCCACCCGCGTCCCGTTCCAGTAGTACCTTAGAGACCAACTAAGTTTCTTCTTGGTATAAGCTTTTGTGTGCATGCACACTTCTTCAGATACTTCAGCAGATGGTATCTGAATAAGTGTGCATGCACAAGAAAGCTTATACAGTACTAAGAACAAACTTAGTTGGTCTCTAAGGTGCTACTGGACAATTTTTTATTTTTTATTTTTTGTGTTTATTTCGACTGCATCAGACCAACACAGCTACCTACCTGAATCTTGTTAGAAGGCATAGCAAAAGGGAAAAGCATTTACTTACTTTATTTTTTATGTAATAATGTTTGGGCAGTGGGTTCTCTTACACTATGGTGGTTTTAGCTGAGCTTACTTCAAAATAAACATGTTTCACACAGATAATAAGTGGGGCCTAACATTCACATCTTTTCTAGTACTGTACGTGCAGAGTCATCTGGAAAATCATAGCATGGTTAGGTGGAGCTCAAGTACCATGAAGCAATTATTATTATTATTATTCTAACTGAAAGCAGCTAGAAACTGCAGCACACTTGCTCGTTCAACACAAGACACATTAATGAAGTCAGAACAGGGTCGGGCAGAGTTTCAGAGGGCTAGGACTGGCAAATTTGCAATCTAGATGAGGTCAAGTTTATAGGAAACAACCTGACTACACACCAGTTGTTGACCCCTCTGATTTTTCACTGAGGCTCTGGAACATGACCCCCTTTTGACTACACACTTCCAGCCCTTTTATCACGGATTCCTGAAACACTGGTTTTGCCTGTGCAGATGCTTCTTGCCCACTTGGGACTGGAAGCTAGCTCTCCTTAGTCCAATAACCTAACCATCTTGTGGCTGAGACTTGTGAAGGCCTGACACGAACTTCCACAGGTTTGATATTGTTATGTACTAACCTTGGATCCTAGAACAATAGGCAAGCAGGATTGTAGAACGCAACAACTGATTCGCTTGCAGGAGAAGACCAATCAGGCTCCAGGAAGAAGTTAATCAGCCTATTAGGCTGGTAGGATCGTAAATGCAACAACTGATTGGCCTGCAGGAAAAGACCAGTTAGGCTCCAGGAGGGAAGCAGAATCAGCCAGTCAGACGGGACTCATTGTGTAACTAATGTACATAAAAGCCTGAGGTTTGGGGGGCAATTCAATCCCTTTTACAAGCTGCAGTAAAGAGCATGAAATCACTACAGGACTCTGAGTACATTTCAGATAGCATGCAGATGAGGTAGGTCAAGGAAATGAGACAATCTACTGACTACAGATCACGCCACCTATGTGGATCAGAGTCACATACACCCTAGAATATATTTACTCATTGTATAGATGAAGAATACCATCAGATTACTTACGCAAGCCAACAGGTACATACATGGCTGTTGCAGCTCGGTCAGGCAAGAAGGTCCAGTGAGGAATTAATTATTGTCAAAAATACACCTACAAGTTTGGAGATGGCATGTCTGTCAGCCCTCTATCTCTTGGCTATGTCTAGGTGTGTACCCGATGAGGCAGTTGCTTCAACGGGGAGGCTCCACCCCAAATATCGGCTTCCCCATCCGACCTGCGCACAAGCAGGCAAAGACTACACCTGCATGTAACTGGCTTCTGCTTCTCTCACTTCAATCCTCTCCTGGTCCTGGGAGACAGTGGAGCAGGAGAGGTGGAGGCAGGAGGAGGTGTGGAAGCCCTTGACTCTACAACTGCCTGACCTCTCTCTCCCACCTCCTGCACCTGTTCTTCACTCTCCAATCCTGCAGCGTCTCCTGCCACTGGCTCTCATCTCCCAGCTGTCCCAGGTTTCCCCGGATCACTGATCCCTTCTTCCAAGCCAAACTCCCTGTGCTCCCTCTGCAGTATCCAGCTAGTCCCTGACAATGGCAGAGCCCACAAGCGCCATGAACATTAGTGTTATGTACTGAAGTTCTCACCCTGGGCCAGCAGGGGAATACTGTAGATAGTTTTCACTCAGGTCCACATATGCAAATAAGGGATTGAAAGTGACGTTCAGTGATTGGATAGTTACAGGAAGTTGTTACAGTTGCGTTGTAGTAGAGCTCTATATAAGCAGGCTGGCTGAACCCTTCAGTTCAGTTCTGTTCTGGCCTGTGAATAAACAAGAGCTGTTTGAAGAATCGCTGTGTTGTCTGATATGTTCACCCACAACTTTACAATTAGTGTGGGTCAGGGGAAAGACAGCTTATAGCAGATGAACAAAAAAGTAGACAGCAGATAGCACAGAGAAATGCACAAGAACTCAGCATCACTGGCTGAAGCTGGTACCCGCTGTGCTGCTGCTAGGCCACCAGCCAAGGGGAGGCTAGATGGCACAGGACATGGAAACAGCCCTGAAGATTACCCAGCTCCTTCTACAGTTGCCCTAGCCATTGATGAAAGTGCCTGGAGCAAGAACTGCTGCCAACCTGGCTGCTTTTCCTGCTCACCTCCACCGCTACCATCCCAATTTGAGCCAAGTGGCCTAGAGGACTGCTCACTGCTCCCATCTTGCATCTTATGGTCCTACCCATCCCACCCCCACCCCCACTCTATTCTGGCAGCCAGCCCATATAGCTCCCCAAATTCCCCAAGACAAAACTAAGATATAGAAACGGCAAAAGGCATGCAGTTACAAAAGCTGAAAGCGACAAGGCTTTGGTAAAAGTGCATGATTGCGAAAGTCATGCAGGTCCATTAATCCTGCAGGTTGTAGAACTCTTGATTTGTGGGCAAAAGACTTGAATGCATAAGTGGATTTGTCCCTACAAGTGACTGACAACCAGCTTGGGATTCCACCCTTGGCGTGGCATGTTCACGATGAGGACAGCAGCAGTACATTCTGTGCTCAGCTTAGTCCATTGTCCAAGTCACACTATTGGCAAAACAACAGCCCATTCCACTTTTGAGCGAGCTGTGTTGATTCTGAGTTCCACAATGTACCCCACCCATGAAAAAATGTGAAAACGACCCAATATTATGTTGTTATGTTATATATCCCTCTTGCCATCCTGAATTTTGGCTGCTGCCTCTGGGTAAATGCAAGGGGGACACTTAACTGCTCCATAAGATATTTTATTTTAAAATGTTGATCTGGTCACTGTGGGGGCAGCAGCCTCCTGTGGCCTTTGTGGTGAATACAATAGGCATGCTGTTCTAAGACCAAAACACCACATAGTAGGATTCAGATCACTCACAAGGCAACCAAATTAGTACACTGGTTATGACTGCCAGATTTTCCTGATTTACAAGTGCCAAGTTTTCCTCCACAGCAATTGAAAAGCTCTCCTTTCAGAATTTTGTGAAGACTTTGAAAGTTTCCTCCAGCATGAATGCCATTTTGTTTGCTAGTAGGAAAATAATTCTACATTATGGTGCAGAACACAATAAACTTTCCAAACAATAAATTAATGGATTCATTGATATAAAGGCATATCAATCCAGCTGGATTCTTAAATGTCATTGGAAAGTTTTCTCCTAGGATGGAAACTGGAACATATATGGAAGATATAAAGTCAAAGGAAGCCATATAACTCATGTTATAGCTTATTCTATGGTGGTAAAGGCAATGTAGAAGCAGTATTTCTCTGCCAATATTGCATTGTCATCAATGCTGTCCAGGAGAACATTTCTTTTACAGGAAGTCCCTGGCCTTCTCCAGTCTGACCAACAAAATGATAAAAGGGACCAGTGTGACTTGTTCATCAACTATTTTGTGGATACTGGAAATTTACATCAATACAGTTGCTCACATCTGTAGGAACCTGGACTCCATTGCATGTAGTTAACATGCTCAGAGCACCTAGTCCTATATTGTGGGATGGCTTTCATTTGTTGAGGCTTCATGGCATGTACTACTTATTTGCTCTCCTGGGTATTATTATCAAGAAGGGGAGGAATAAAAATTTATTTAAAAAATAATAATATCAAGAAGGGGAGGATTGACTGGCTAGGTCCAGCAAATTATAAATGTCCCTTTCAAAGCAAGCAAATCTACTCCTTCTCATAGTAAAACAGTTTTGGATCTAATGCAATAAGGAACTAGTTATAATATCCAATGTCAGATTTTACAGAGCACCTATAAATAGTATGAGAAAGAAAACTGCAGGCAGATGTGGTTGATATGAACATGACTCAAGAATTTCCAAAATAGTTTTAACATGCTAATTGTGAAAGAAGCATCCATTGCTAAGATCCTTCTGTTATGTTTTATTAAGTGGAAGTCTTCTGCTGCAAGTCTGAAAGCACTAAGTCAAGAGTGGATCTGTTTAAGTAAATGGTGTTACTCTCCATACTGATTCCATTATATGTGATGACTGTAGCACTATAAGGGTTAAAGCAGCATGGTGAAATTATTTCTTCTATGCAGCTATCAAAAGAACTTTAAGGGTCTGGACTTTGTAGCCCTAGGAACATCTGGATATTTTGGAATCAGAAAACTGATTTGTTGGAAAGATCAGTCCCCTGTACATTCCAATAATACTAGATACTATAAATAGTTTTGATAAGAGCATGAAAAGCACCCACATGGTAGCAAATCATGATGAAAAAGTACAAAACTTGTGAGGTTCCCTTGTGAGAAATTGTATAAGAAAAATATTTCAAAAGCATTTTCTCAAAACCCTGAAGTTCCTGCAAACCTACAGCTGAAGCCTGGGAAATTCAGTAGTTTATCTCAGTGAAACAATGTGAATAATTTCTGGCAAAGGACAATATCTGCATATTTGACATTATCTTGGCAAAACACGCAGAAAAAGAAGCAACCCCCCTGCTTTTATTTAAGGAAAGGAAATGTTTCCATACTTTGAAGTATATGGCAGTCTTTATTGTAATTATAGCAGGGGCATAGAGATGCTTGGAGAACAACCAATATGTGCTTAGCTCAAGACCAGAGGGGGAACAAAGTGAACAGAAACAATTTAAACATAATCACAGGAATGCAAGCTGCACCTTAGCATTCTTGATGACCCTGCCATGCAGTGCCAGCACCCCCTCCTTGTCCAGAAATGGAAGGAACTGGCCAATCTGGAGCACAGGCATGTTGCTGACAAACTTTCTCAACATTTGTTTATTTAATTGCATTTATATGCCACCTTTCTCCCAAAGAGATGAATGTGGCATACATGGTTCTCTTCCTCCCCACTGCACCCTCACAAGAAGCCTGTGGGGTAGGTTAGTGTCAGGAATGAGCCAGCTCAAAGTGAGGGTTTGCAGCCAAATGCAGAAAGCAGTCAAAAGGGAGGCTTTGATGTTAGTCAGGCAGGAGATAGCCAGCAGTTGCAGACTTTGGCTTTTCCTGACCTTGATGAGCCAGATGGTAAGGCAGTAGCTGAGAGCAGGCTGGAACACAGCCAAAGCTTGATGGAAGCACAATCAGACGCAAACAAACCCCTCTTAGACCTGGAAGAGGTTGGATCTGATCTAATAAGTCCATAGAGTCGGTGAATGGGGGTGTTGTTAGATCAGAAGCAAAACAAGAAACATCAGTCATAAGTTCAATATCTGTTGGAGATGCCGGAAGAACTTTTCAGAAGGGTCATCTTGAGTAATGGCGCCGGAGGCTTCGTTAGAGCCGTCCGGAGCTATCTGTTTGTTTCTGCAATAAATCCTCCTTTTTCATTATCTACGCTTACTGTGTTATCAAGCTGGGAACCTGACAGTTAGGCTCAGAGACAGTGACTGGCTCAAGGTCACCCAGTGAGTTTAATAGCTGAGCAGGGATTTGAACCATGGCCTCCCAGGTCCTAGCCCAACACTCTAACCACTACACCACACTGGCTCTCGAAATACAAATTTTAGGTTCTACCTTGATTTGAACTCAGATCGCTGGATTCAGAGTCCAGAGTGCTAACCACTATACCATAGGACCACACGCACAAGAGATACATCTCACCCTCAGCACCACCCGTTCTCCCAAAATGTGAGCCCCATTCTTAGAAATGGCCCTGCAATGAATCACCTTGAGTCTCTTGAGCAAGCATGTTTTTTTGTGGGGGTTTTTGCCACCTGCACCTTAGTTAGAACAAGGATATTTCCTTTCGAGCATGTAATTCCATCAATAAGTATAGCTTTCTTATTTTCCTAACCTCACTTAAACCAACCTCCAGGTATACTCCTCCAACAGGGATCCAATGTTCTGTTTAGCTTCTGTGAGCATGTTAACTCCGAACACCAATAGGAGATCCATGTAGATCCTGATTTCTAAAAAATTTAACACCAAATAATGAATGTTGGGTACTCTTAAGTTTTGATGCATAAGTTCTCAGAGCAAAACCGGTCATTTGAATTATTACTTACTATAGTGGTACCTCGGGTTACAGACGCTTCAGGTTACAGACACTTCAGGTTACAGACTCTGCTAACCCAGAAATAGTACCTCGGGTTAATAACTTTGCTTCAGGATGAGAACAGAAATTGTGCGGTGGCAGCGCGAGGCCCCATTAGCTAAAGTGGTACTTCAGGTTAAGAACAGTTTCAGGTTAAGAACGGACCTCCAGAACAAATTAAGTTCTTAACCCGAGGTACCACTGTACTTTGTTATTCGATTTGAACACCATACATTCAAATCAGGCTCAACATTATTTACCCTAAGTCCCACTAAAGTCAACTGGGCTTGCTTCTGAAAAGACATGTATAATTGCACTACACTGTAATGATTACTCTCTAGTTATTTGGGCTACAAACAAACAATTATTTGAGTATAGTAATGGAGCCACTTTTGAAACCTGCTCACTGTCGTCTGTGCAAAAGAACAATTCCTATCCAAAAATGAGCTCAGAGAAAACTGGTTCTGCAAGTTTGCTGCACAATCTCTCTGCACCGTATTGATGTGTTGAGACACCATGCAGTCATCTCCCACCTGATCCCTGAAGCATTAACAACTTTGAAAAAAAAATTGCAATCAAATTGTACAAACATTTGAGCTAATGTCTGCACATCTGATGGCTACTAAAAAATAATAATGAAGGTGACACCCTGCAGCACTGACATTAGCATTGGATGGGATATAAACAGCTATAATAATTATGACAGTTACTTCTCTAGGCAAATAAAATGGCCGACATGTAACTGCCATCAATTCTAGATCTAGGGAGCAATACGTGTAAGCTACTTTGTTGTTAATGCACCAACCATTGTGTATGTAAATACAAACTCCTCCACCCCTAGCTTTACCAGAATCACTGTTTCTATCAGAGTGATAAATTATTTATCAGCTCAACTGCCGCATCCGGTACTGCTGAATGTAGCCAAGTTTCTGTAATAATTACCACACATCTCTCACAAAGAAGCTTGTTTGCTGCCATCAGCAACTGTAATTCGTCAATTTTGTGGACGAGAGATCTGATGTTGGCCAGGAAGACGCTTGGCAGTGCTGGTCTGGTGGGTCTTTTTCGAAGCCGGGTTAACAGACCAGCTCTGCAACCACGTTTTTGCTTTCACTCTTTTCTCTTTCGCTTCCTTCAGCACTTCCCCCTCCCGTCGACAATCCATAGAGATCCTGGAGGTCTTACTATGCAGTTTGGTATACAGTGGGACCTTTGAAACTCTCTAGTTATCTCTATTTTTCTTGTGAGCCCGATGTTTACCAGTTTTGTGCGTGAGTAGGTGAGGTATTGGGAGCTCAGAGCCGCAGCGTATGAGCGCGCCGCCATCTTGTAACTGAACGCCTGAAACTTGGGAAGAGAAAGTAAGATTGATGACTGAAATCTGTGTTGAATTGCTGGCAAGTACATCAGTCAATTCTGTGGCAGGCAGACACAAATCACCCCACATGAAAAGGTATGTTACAACTGTTGCAAATGTTTTGTGTGTGCAGTCTTACATACAATACTAGGTGAGCAGCATCCCAGATGGAAAAAGGGGTGTGACAATCAGCAGCATCTAGCAAAACATCACCATACATGTAAGAAAATTCCCCACCCACACAATGCGCTACCATTGCACATTTTCCAGTGAATTCCAGAATGTGAACCACTGATATTGGGTCTACACTTAACTGTTGCCACTCCAATTGAGGCCTTCTCCAGCAGAATTACAGCCTGAAGCTGTATGGTGGACTTGAATCTACTTTCCCTTCAGCAGTGGGAACTTCCGCTACCTTCCCCAATGTAATTCAGGCAGCATTTTTTGATACTCAGCAGAACTTCACAGCTGCCCAATGACACACCCAAAAGTATTTTAAATGGTTTGTCTTCACCACTTGCCAAAGGCAGAGAAATGGAAGACCAGTAATGAAAATGGTGGATAACTTTCAGGGCAGCAAGCACATCCACCAACAATTATTAAGGAAAGGTTGAAATGGGAAAGTAGAAAAACTTTTTTTTTCAGGCTTAAGTCACTCCTAGCAATTCCTATGATGATGGTGCAATGCTACAGCACACCACAATCACCAGTACACAGATAGCAGAATAACCTCAGCTCTGGAAAAGCATGAAACGAACAGGCAGAAATAATAGGTGGGGTACAGATTAGCCTTTGTGGGTGCTTCTAGATGGATTATAGGATTGGTGTTCCTCATGCATGGACATTTTCTGCAAATGGGATCATAGTCCTAAAAGTGACAGACTGATATTTATTTATACCAACCAATATTTACTGATGCTATTGTATTATTATTATTTAAAATAATAATACATGGTCTTGTGTGTGTGTGTTTTAATGAAAGTGCAGCATAGCAATATTTAAATGAATAGTTTTAAATATTAAGCTCTTGTCTGCAAGCAACTTGCATCAAGCGGCACACGCAAAAACCAATGTTGCTCAGCTGCAGAAGAAAAGCAGAGTGTGTGTGCAGACGGGTCCAAGGCACAATCAACAAGTGGGATATAAATCCCTAAATCTAAATTATGTGAAATTTAAAGCATTTTAAACCCCCTGAAGGAACAGCGCCACCTTTCTCATTTAAAATGGAACAGAGATTTGGCCCACGAGGAAAAACCCCACGAGGGGAGATTTAAAGGGCCCAAAAAAACCCTGAATTCTCCGCATCAACGTTGAACAGCTGGGCGGTCTTTCTCAGCCCTCTCGGGGCTCCCGAGGACAGAACAAAGATTGATGTCCACCTTGACCACTCCCAGAGAGAGGAAGCGACTTCTTCGCACCAATAAGCGTGTGGGGAGGGCGGAGCTTTGACCACCTCGGCGTGCCGATTGGCCGGACAGGCCGCCCGCCTTGGCACATAGGCTTGGAGCGGGGGCCTTACCGCCGAAGTAGCCACTGAGGATGAAGGCGGGAGGCGGGCACGGGAGAGCGACGCTTCGCTTGGCCAACGAGCCGCCGGGATGCCTGTTCCTGTTTGAGAGGAACGTGCCAATGAGGGTGGCGTTAGGGCGGGGAGAAAGAAGGAGCTGGGTTTTGCGAGTTATCGAGAGAGAGAGAGAGGAGAGTCGGGATAATAAAGGCGGCGGGAGGCGGCGGCGATTGGAGCCGTTCTGAGCGGCCACTGTCGGGCGGAATCCTTTTCAAAGCGGCCGCGCGGAGGGCGGAGCGGGCGGGCCAGGCGTCGCCGTGACGGGAGGGCGGGGATGGTCGCCGACGGGATGAAGTAGAGCTGCTTCGGGGCGGCGGCGGCGAAAACGTCCGGGCTGCTTCTGAAACCTCCGCCAACCGGGGCGAGGAGAAAGCGCCTCAGGAGCGTCGCCACCACTAAGCAGGTATGGAAACCTGAGGAGCCGAGAGAGAGAGAGAGAGAGATTGTGGTTTGAGCGCCATTCGCGAGGGGTTCTGTGTCGGCGGCGGTTTCCCGGTCCCAACGGAAACGGAGCCGCCGCCGCGAGACCCTCTCTGGAAACGAGGCCGGGCGCGCGCGCGAGCAACGGCTTCTTTCCCTCAGGCTGCTGCTGCTGCTGTGAGGCGCTTTTGTTTATAGCCGAGGGGCGTGTGTGTGAGCGCGCGCGCGCGTGCGTGCGTTCTTAGCGGCGGTTCTCCCCCTCCCACCCGCGGGAAACCGAGGAAGAAGGGAGACCGCGGGTTCTCGATCTCCCGCCCTTTCTTTCCCAGAGCAGGTAGCGGGTTCGTCGGGCGTTTCGCGGAGGAGAAAGCGCAGCTGCTAGGAGGAGAGCGGGGAGGCCGGGCCGGGGGAGGGGGTCGACCGCAGCGAGGCTTCGGGAGCTGCCTGCCTGCCCGGGAGGGAGCTCCTTTCTTTCTTTTTTCTTTCTTTCTTCCTCCCTTCCCCTCCCGCGAGGGAGGCACCCACGCAGCCAACTTTCTCGTAAGTGTCGCTCGGCGGGGCGCTTCTAGCCCTGCTTCCTTCAAGAGATGGGGAAAGAGACGCGCGCGCAGGCAAAAAACCCTGTAACCTGAGGATGTGGGTGTCTTCTTTGGCGATCACTCGTAGCCGATTGTCTTCCACGAACACGGTCTTAACAGCGAGTCCGTAAGTGACCGTGGAGGCCAATTCTGGATCCACACGTCCTTCCACAGTGGGGACATAGGTTTCCGGGCGGGAGTTGATCACGGTGAGAGTTTGCCAAGCGTGCCTTCCTCTTAGCACGTTTCCATTTTTAAGTAGTTGTTTTGGAAGATGATCATCATGCATCTGCACATGACGACCAGTCCAACGCAGTTGATGTAGAAGAATCATCGCTTCAACACTGGGGATCTTTGCTTCTTCCAGTACGCTGGCATTAGTTCACCTGTCTTCCCAAGTGACCTGTAGAATTTTTTGGAGACACTGTTGATGGAATCTTTTGAGGAGTTGGAGATGGCATTTATATGTGGTCCATGTTTCACAAGCGTACAGTAAGGTTGGTAGTACAGTAGCTTTGTGAACATACATTTTGGTTTCCCTGCGAATATCCTCAAACACTCTGTGCTTCAGTCAGGAGAAAGCTGCACTTGTAGAGCTCAGGCAATGCTAGATTTCGGCAT